ACGTAAGGACATATCAGCCTACGCCATCTCCACTCTTGACTTCTCGTCTGCTTCTATGTCTACCAAAGACGCCAAGGTCCTAGACGCCAAATTCGCAGACGACTCTTCCCTTCTTATCCTCCTGCAAGTTCCGTTGGAAGATAAAACGATGTCGAACGTCATCGTTTCTCTACCTTACACACTTGGCGTCAATAGCATGTCTCACGAGCATCCCATCGTCACTTACACACCACTTCCACACGCATCGGTACAACAGCATCTCCTTCCGCAGGGCACATCACCGCCTTCACTGTCGCGCAACAACATAGCGATAACGCGCGAGACGATCGAAAGACATACGAGACATGTCTTTGAAGGCCGGTTCACACCGTTGAGGTTAGAAGTCAATGGCAGGAAAGGCAGGAGGGTGATTGTAGTGTTGGGTAGCGACAGGAAGCATTACAGAGTGCTGGACATGGACTTTAGGATGAAAAAGGACAGGGATGGCAGGGATGATGCTAGTTGGAATGGGAGTGACAGTGAAGCGGAAGATGGAGATGGTGATGTCAGTATGGGTGGGGCATAGATGGTCTCGACATGTAATAACAAAAAAACCATGACAGCACAGGAACAATCAGAGGCAAACGTCGGAAGTTCAGATCAGATACATTTTTCGGAATCACATTCCCTAAAGGACCTATCATGCATGCAAGCCATAGTAGAAGAAAGCCTAGCTTGCCGAGAAGTTTCCATTTCGTTATAACGCCCGGCCACCCGCATGTAGAGGTATGGAGAGAATAACCGACCGCATCTTTGTCGTTCCTATCGTAGACCAACGCCACCAGATCACAAAGCACCACTCTAGTCCTTTGTCTTCTGGGTACCACGGAGCAGACCTGTCCTCCGCGCGGCAATGAGACCGGCCTTTTGACCCTGGGTGGCGTACCGGGAGATGGTCGAGGCTTTACCGATATGCTGGTGGTTACCACCACCGTGAGGATGGTCGACGGGGTTCATGGCAACACCACGAGTCCTGGGCCAGCTGTTGCGCTTGGCAGCGAACTGTCGTGTGTTAGCGATGCTCTTCTGAGCAGACCGTGATTATGCATACCTTGTGCTTGGCACGCGACGCCTTCATGAGAGGCTTGTCTGTGCGGCCACCACCAGCGACGATACCGACCATACCACGGCACGAGCTGGGGAGGACCTTCTTGGCACCAGATGGGAGCTTGACACGGGTCTTGCCCTCATCAGGGTTGTGGCCGATGACGGTAACGTAGTTACCGGAGGTACGGCCGAGCGCACCACGGTCACCGTTCTTGTCCTCGACGTTGGTGAGAACGGTACCTTCAGGGACGGAAGCGAGGGGGAGGACGTTGCCGATGGTGAGCGCAGCGTTCTTTCCGGCGTAGATGAACTTTGCCATGTTAGATGTTATCCCATTTCCAGCAGCCCAGAATGCGCCAACTAACCTGGCCAGTGTACATGCCCTCGTTGGCGATGAAGGTCTCGGTGTTGTGCTTGAACTTGTAGGGGTTGCGGAAGGTGACCCTGGCGAGAGGAGCGCCTGTGGACGAAATGGTTAGAAAATGGCCCCAAAGTCCAATTCTCGCACTGGGTACTCACCACGACCAGAGTCGTGGACAATCTCCTTTACGACACCCCGGATGTATCCATTGCGCTCAGCCTGCACCCATTAGCCCTCTGTTCCCAATATGTTTCCAAATTTCGCGAATTGTGCGGGCGGCGAACGTACGAAGTCGAGCGTGCGGAACTGGGCGGGGTTCTTGTTCAGGCGGGTGTTGGCCGTGAAGATAGAGCCGCGACCCTTACGTTGGTTGCGAATGACCCTACCCATGACGACGGTGTTGATGTGAGTTGGTTGTCGGTCGTTGGAGTTCACAGAGAGGAATATGGTCAGTCGCTTAGCGAGACACAATTTCGAACGTGTGTGGGGCTAGCCGTTTGCGCACTAGCGTAAGAGCCTCCAGCTTAGGAGCGACAGAGCAACAAGGCCGTCGTCAGCATCATCGCAAAAGTCTTCTTTTTCCCACATGTGCGCAAACGTCTCAAAGCAAGATTCTATACATGTTTCGTTTCCATATTCTCTAGATTGTTTCTCAGCACGCTGCGCCAGCTTTCGTTCCTTCGTTCTCTCCTTGGACTACCCGGTTAGCACGTTGCGCATGCAGAAGAAATATTTACATCTGCCACCGTATCCATGATTGTCTGTTGTAATGGAACCATATGCATCATCTCAGTTCTGTATATCCTCATGCCCGCACCCGTATGAACTGTTCAGATTGTAGCTACTCCACCCTTACACTCACTTTCAGTTCTACTCTTCTCTGCAACAAACAATTTCTCGATAGACTCAACCACCATCAAACTTCTCGTTCGGAAGCCAGTTTCCTCTATCCTGTCCCTGTTTAGCTCAAGTCTCTTCGTCTCCCAGGAATTCAAAAGTCACTTCGTCTCGCCCCTCGAATCAAACATCAAGTCACATGTAGCAACGGAAAGTTGTTTTGCTGTGTGTCCTCAGGACAACAGAACCAGGATAGTTGTTTATATGTAAAAGTGCAATATGTACATGCAAGGGGTATGTCAAGACCCCAAAGAGAATCGAAATCGAAAGGAACGAACAGAACCAAGAATCTACAACAAGAAAGCCACCAACAGCCAAACATCTTCCTCCTCAACTCAACCACTGCGTTGCGCCAATAGCCAGTCTCCTTGTTATCGGCACTCAGTGCCTTGTCTCATAGTCGAGAATCTATGAGCCAGTGATGGTGTACTGGGACTTTCCAGCGGCGTTACCCCAGCCTTCGGTAGCAAGAGTCTGGTAGTTGTGCTGACCCAAGTTCATGCCGAGCTTGGCCCAAGCGTCGAAGTGGCACTTGGTGGTAACAGTGCCGCTGCCGGGCCTCTTGTTAACACGGTTGCTGATGTACTGGGTGAAGGTGGTAGTTCCCTGGATGGAAGGCTGGTTGACCTGGGTGTGCTTCCAGATGTCGTAGACGGAGCCGTCGCAAGTGACCTGGCCCATCTTGGTGCCCTGGGCGGAACCGGCGCCGTTGGAGGTGTACTCCTGGATGTAGTACTCGATCAAGGGACCGGTAGTCCATCCGTAGACGGAGACAAGGACGGTTCCTGCCGAGGGGGAGGTGGAACCCTGGAAGTTGATCTTGCGGGTTGTGCCCTTGGTCCAGCCCTTTCCTACGACGAAGTCGCCGGCGTTGGAGAAGTTGACTGAGTAACCGTTGTTGGTGGGGGAGAACTGAACGTTGCCGGAGGTCTTGTAGTTCTGGTTGTAGTCTTGGCGGGTGGCAAGAGCCTTGCTTCCAAGCTCGAAGTCAGGGACATCGGCAGTGGGTGCGGCGTAGGCAGAGCCGGCGATGGCGCTGAGGCCGAGGACGAGAGAGCTGAAGGCAACCATTTTGAGGAAAGTTGAGTTGTTGGAAAGAACGTCAATTGGTAAGAGAAGAGAATGGAAGTGAAGGATGCTTGTGTAGATGAGATGAGAAGCTTGGTGGTGAGCTTATTCGTCCTTCCAAGCCCTTGGTCTATATACAACAGAACGGTTAAAAGGCTGTAAACACATGGCACCAAACATATTGCGATTGTTTCAAGGTCTATCACCGAAGCCTCGCCACTGTTCCCCTGTGCCTATCCAGATGTGAACGATGTTCCCGCGCCCCGGGGATGAGCAGTCCCTCATTCGGACGGACCCTGGACATCTTAGATCCTCAGACGAATTCCACCAGTAGCGCAAATGAGCAGTACCCCCGATTAATTAAGCTCCGTCAAGCTACGGTAGATACATAAAGTGTTCTGTGGGGAAGCCTACCATTCATGCACCACGATGCATGGATCGTCGTGCTTATTCCCCTCGGCAAAAGCTTGGAGAGGCTTGGATACCCTTGACCTTCCTGCTATGCGAGCCAACATACCGCCGGCTATTATGGGAAGCATTGACGCGTTCTGTTACCACAGCATTGCTGTAGTTTTTTTTCTACTGTACATGCGGTGTAGAAGAGGGGGAGATGGGTCATGTGTACCTGTGCTTACCCCTTCGAGGCAAATCTTGACGTGGCGTCTTCCGATAGCCCTTTGGGCAAGGCGCGTCAGGGCGGCCACTAGAGAAGCCGAAGAAGGTGCCGGCGGGAGGATGCGAAAGGTTGATGGGAAGAAAGTTTGGATGACATGAACGGTGTTCGGTCAGTACCCAGGTAGGTACGCAATGAGGTACTTTCTTTGCACGTCTGTTGATACCTATCTGACTCCTTCGTTGTACCTTCAAGGTTCAAACGCCTTCTATTACGACCTTGACACCAAAATAGAAAGTAATTATGCGACCCACTATGAAACAAGCCTCAAGGCATGAATCGCCTATCCCGTCTTGTTTCTTAGGCACAGTCTGCGCATGAGACAGCACCACAAATCATGACGTTATACACCAGTGTCACATCTGCTCTTCTGCCGGTAATAACATCACGGTAGAACGCGTGAAACAACAGCATGCATCATCTCGTTAACAGCCGAAGAACCCAGATAATAGTCCGCGGGGTGTAACCAGGACAGCCGGTCAGAGAGAGCGAGAAGGATACAGTGGTGCGGGTGAACGCATCGGTACAACTGAAACATGGCGTGTCCGTCTCAGAAACATCCTTTCATCTCCGATGATGTTCTGGACTTAACATCCACAAAATGGTCTAGAATGACGAAATCTTCCATAGACTACGCCACTGTCAGTGAGATGAAGAGCACATGACGACAAGGCACGAGTTTAAGCGGTATGATCATAGCAATTCCGCGTGAGCAAAAATCCGGGTTCAATAGCCTAACTCTTGAGGCCGGTCCGTAATGGCGCCGTGACGCCGATGTGCAAGCCCGATGCACCCACCGCCAGATATAATGCAAGTATAAGGTATGTACAGCGAACAGAAAGCGCAGGTATGTCGCTTGTCCTCAAAAACGCTCATGACAGCATAGCAAAACGACCCGACCCATGCGTCTATCATCTATCTTCGCGTAGCCTCGATAGCTTTCTCCAAGCCAACGATCCTCAAACTCTTGCCTCGGCCAAGTTTACCACTCATCAAGCCAGCTGCAGGAATGAGCTTGTCATCCCAGTGACGGAAAAGGACCTTCATGTCGCGAGGTACACCTTCTAGTACAACCGTAGTAACGGGCATGAATGGACGGTCTTCCTCTGACACAGCGAGCATACCGTAGGCTTGCGCGAACATTAGGGCAGTGGAGAATGCAGGCGCTTGTGTGCGAGACAAAGGACCAACAATTCTGCGAGCCATTAGTGAACTGTATCTTAGAATGCAGTAACGAGATAACTCACATGTACATCTCGAAGAACGCGTCAAGTACATATACGTTCTCCGGCTCCAGATCCCTCTGAGAGAAGGGCATAATTTCTTTGACTTCGGTCTTGACAGCACCTTGCGGCGTCTTGGGCGTAAGCGGCGTCTGTGGCCTCTGTTCAGCAGCGTTCCAAGATGGTCTTCGCAGCAGCGGTGCGAAAAAGGAGCTGCTCACCTGGAGTGCTTGGCCCCATCCTGCCGGCTGGCCAGTCGTTTGTTCGATCTTGTAGAGACGTACGCGGTACTTGTCGGATGTGGCCTTGTAGCGCCAATGGTCTGCTGAGCGGGGAATGGCGGGTCCCTTTGCTGGGACTTGAGGGGGAGGGAATGTGTTGTTGAGGAAGCTTGGAGGTTCGGCGCCTTCATCAATCTCGTTGTAGTCACCAGTAGGCGCGAGGTCCATGCCCATAAGACGTGCACCAGATAGCTCCTCAGCAGAACAGCCGCGGCCCTTCCAAAGAAACACCTTGGCAGCCGAAGTGGAGACAAGGTAGGGGAAGGCGGAGCATAGGCTCTTGAGTGAGAAATCGACTTCGTCAAAAGCAAGGTGTCCAAGATGGCGGCGACCACAGAGCATGAATTCCTTCGCCGCTGGCTTTGCACCACGTCTTGTGATGACAATACCGCCCAGGGCTTCGAAGAAGTTGGGTGTCTCTTGACCTTGACGTATGACTAGAAGCGTGCCTTGATTTTGACGTGCATGGTTCTTTGCGAAGAGTTGTACATCTTCAAGCGTAGGCTCTGCTACACCATTGCCAGCCCACAAGTAGACATTAGTATGCCTAACACCCCTTGCGTCATCATAGACGTGCGTGCACAGATACATTGAATCCTGGAACAGGATATGCTCTTCTTGAACAGGCACAGCTGTGAGTCTACCATCGCCAGTTACTTCTTGGATCTGCTTGCGCAACGTACGTATCTTTCCAGATGGACCTAGGTCAAGCGGCGGAGATTTTAGTGTGTACATAGTATCGATGTTGTCGGGCAGCTGGCCTTCAGTCACAGGGGCTTCATCGAAGAAGTCTGCGAACATCCCATCGTGTTTTGGGAGAGTCGGTGACACAATGGAAGGCTCAGAGAATGGTCTATTTGCGCTTCCCGGCGGTGACATAGGTGCGTTTTTGGGTGGTTGAGGACTGGATTCTCGTGATCGAGACGCGACGAACCCACCCAAGCTTCCTAAGCTGAAGCCTAGCCCGACAGGTTTTGGCTTCGGTGGCAGAGGCTTGGATTCAGTCGGTGATTGTGAGTTTGATTGCGGCGGATCGGGCAGAGCCTTGGTGCCTGACCCCGATGAGCGAATCAAGCCGGCGTCCTTCATTGCAGCTTGTTCGTCTGCTTGTGTAGGGAGTTTGATCGGAGACCTGACTCGTGGTGGAGCGGGCGACGAAGAAGCTGAGGACCTGCCCCATAGTGTGGTAGCGCTCTTGACTGATGAGAACGTAGTCTTCTCAGGCGAAGGCTCATCCTTCGCCGGCGAGATCTCCACATTGGGTGTTGAAATCTCCCGAAGTGGTGTCGACCTGGGACTCTCTGCTACTGGCTTGCTAGGCAACGTTGGTAAAGGACGCGAGAATCGAGAATGAGGTGTGGCTGGGGAAGACGTGGGTGAGGCCGGCTTTGGTGATTCAGTTTGCTTGGGCAAAGGTGACTTCTGCGGCGTATTGTATGACCCCGAGACTCGTCTTTCGAACTCCAGAGACGTTGGCTTCTTGGGTATTCCTGGCGAGGAAGGCTTCGGTGAGCTGATAGACTCCGGTCGAGGCGAAGGCTTGGGCAAGACCTGCGGATCAGAAACCGTTCGATCTAGTTCCGAGGACTCTGACTTCTTGGGAGGCTCTGGGGGTGACGCTTTGGCGAAGGCTCCGGAAGAGATGCGCGCTGATTTGGCTGGGGTAGCAGGCTTATCAGTCGAAGACTGTCTGGCTGGCGTCCTGGCTACTGGTCGCTCCTCTGGTTTTCCGTTAGTCTTGGAAGGCTCAGAGCTAGGAAGGACATGCTCTGGTTTGGCCGAGGGAGCAACGGTAGCAGTAGGTACCTTCTCTTGAGCCTTCTCTTGAGTCTTCTCCGGTTCGGCAGTGGTGGGTTTCGAGGCGGGTGCCCCTCGCTTCGGTCCGCGAGCACGACCCTTAGTCATGTGTTGCAGCTCTGGAGCAGGTCCCGTCTTCTCTTCCTGCGCAGACCTGGTAGGAGACACGTCTACCTCAGCACTTGATGTAGACTTGTTCATCGCAAGAGGAGGTGGGCCTCGAGCGAGCATACCAGCTAGAGCAGGGTTGAATCGACCCGCGAGCTTGCCAGACATTGCTGGCTCTTTTGTCGTGGAGGCGGGTGCGGGTTGTGCTGGCTTGTCGTTAATGACAGGCCTGTTCGCCGCTAAACTCTTCCTCCTCATCAGAGCTTCCGGAATGGGCTCTGGTTCTTTCGGTGCAGCAGCTTTCGGGTCACTATCTGCTCGGTTTAAGACCTTCTTCTTTGCAATAGCCTCTGGCGTCGGAGGGGATGGTTTGGATGCACTGTCCGATCTCTTCAGCGCTGAGCCCTCTTCTTGAGCCTTGTCAAATATGGTAGATTTCCTCTTGATGAGGCTCTCCCTGAACTCATCTTTTCGAACTGTAGGCTTTGGGCCACCGGTTATGTTAAGAGCGCCTTTGCCTCGTGTAATGTTCTCCTTGAGCACATCTGGCGCAACATAGTTCTTGGTCTCAGCCTTCCTTAATCTGCCAAACACGTTCTGTAATTCGTTGACCTCTCCCTCCTTCTTTGAATTATCAGGAGGTGGCCGGCGCGGCTTCAATCCAGCGCGGAAATCTTTCTTAGGTGGTGTTTTCGGCTTCGAAGCTGGGAGACCACGTCCAGTGTCCTGGTTGAATCGTGACGCTACTGGTTTGGATTCTACTGGTGTCGGTGGTTGTTCAGCTGGTGGTGGTGGTGGTGGTGGTGATGCTGACTTGGTAGAGACAGGAGCAGTTGCTTCGGTAGCAGCCTGCTCGAGGGTGTCTTTTGCAGCTTCAGGCTCAGTCGCCCTCGGTGATGTCTCGGCTGCGGGCTTGTGTTCTTCTTTTTTGGTGAACAAGGGCTTTGGTGCCAATGCAGGTGTAGGACTCGGCGACGCTTCTTTGACAGTCTCCATCTTCTTGGGCTCTGCAGACTCTTCTTTCTTGGGAGACTCGGGCCTGCGGAGGCCTACAGGTTTCAATTGTATGTCTTTTATAGGCGACGTGCGACCCGACCCAGTCGGCTCTCCGAACGAGCTACCCTTGCCTAGGTCCACACTGCTACGCTGTTGCTTGATGCGATTGATTTCTGCCATCCACGCGGGTTGCGCTGGTGCCGATTGCTTCGGCTTGGGCGACTCTGGCCTGCTCAGCGCGCTCTCGAGCCAGGTCGACTTTGTAGGGCTCCACCGCTTCGAGGGGCTCGGGGGTGAGAAATCGTCTTGCAGTGCGTCTTTGTCGCTAAAGGTCGACGCAACAGACTTGGCTCTGCTATGACGGTGAGGCAGGGCAGGCTTGACGAACTCGTCTTTGGTTGCGCTGTCCTTGTCGGCCCCGGTTATGGTCGCATTGCTGTAGCTGGAGGCCGGACGCGAGGAGGAAGGCTCGATGGAGTTGTCTCTAGTCAAGTTAGGTCGCTCAAGGCCGGAGATTGAGCCATAAACGCTCCCACGGTTGCTCAGGGTTGAGTTTTGCCTGCTCAGAACTGGCGGTGTCTGCGTGCTCCACCTCTTGCTTACGCTATCGCTTCGCTTGAGCATGGCACTTTGCACGAAGCCGCCCATGCCCTTGGTAGGCGACGCTGATCGCTCCCGTTCGGGCGAGATTCTCCCTTGGGTTGGTGACATGGCGAGGGCGCGTGCGGCACGTTCGCTGTCTCCACCATCGATCGACGAGTCTTGTTCGGAAGGCGGGGCGAACTTTTGGGAGTCGAGTGTTGGAAGGTGCGACCGTCCTTTGGCGAGAGACTCTGCATCGCCACCAGAGACGGATGTGTTGGAGGAGAAACGGTTGCTCATCGTGGCGCTGCCTCGCACGGAGCCAGCCCGAGAGCCGGGCGAGCTGGAGCGTATGCCTTCTGTAGGCGGACTACTCATCTCGGGCTCTACAGTAGACTCGCGTGACATGCCTGGCAGTTGCCGCCTGCCCGACACTGAACCTGTCTCTGAAGCGGCATCATCCTGGTTTTTCCTGAAAGCCGCCGACCCCCTTCCGCCCTCTGCTGATTGCCGGAAGAAGTTTGGATCCTTGGCGCCTAACGATGCGGCAATGGAGCTTCGGGACGGGTTGGCCTCGGGCGAGGACGGTGGTTCGGGTGTGTTGCTGTCAGAAGCTCGTTCGGGCGAGCGTGAGGCGACTGACAGAGGTCGGCGTATGCTGCCCGACTTGGGCCTCTGGTTCCACGATAATGTGCCTGAGCGACCCAATGCTGCCGCGCTGGTAGCCGGTTTCTTGGGTTCTGTGTCCTCGAGGGTCGCCGTCGTGGGAGAGCTCGTGAGGCGCTGCAGCGATTCGTCGCGTCCCGTGTCTTGAGCGGGAGGGCTCATGGTAGGTGTGGGCGTGCTAGCAGCCTTTTCCTGTACCATTCGGGGAGTGGCAGTGGCAGAGCGCGGTGATTGGGGAGTATATGGCTTGTCGGGGGAGATTGAACGGGCTCGCTCTGTTTGGGAAAACATCAGTCGTGAACGAGTCTAACGGATTCAAAAACAAACCTGCTCTCCGCGCTAGTCGCTCGCTGCGTCCTTGTATCAGCTCCTCCTCGAGCTTCTTGACGCGCTCGGCATCCTCGCGGTCTCGTTGGTCGCCTAACCGTTGAATCCGCTGCACGAACTCGGAGGGATCGATTTCCTTACTGTCCTCCGACGACATGGTGGTGTGGGCGATGAGAAAGCTAGGCAATCACAGGCCAATGTGCGCTACGGGAGTTATGCGCAAGGGTTGAAGATGCTCGGCAGTGAAATGAATCCCAGACGGATCTTGAGCTAGACGGTCGTTAATTTGCTTCGACTCGGTTATGTCATTCTTGGCTGCAAGTGCTCGCATGTGTTTCAGACGGGATGTAGACGCAAGGCTGGCGGGCAGACGGCATCAAACGAGCGAATGGCGAAGAGAGTGGCAGAGAGAAAGTAGGATGCAGGTCGTGAAGATGGCCTCGATGGCTGTTTGTTTATGCTATCAGCGTTCCAGCTGCGGCCAGTTGACGCCAGCTCCACAATTGGGCGGTTGGAACTTGTCATTCGACTACCGTTGCACTACCCGCATCGAGCCTTTGGGCTGCCTTGCCCCTTGCAACCCCGATGCATGCCGACACTCTTCAATACAGGAAGAGTCGAGCCTTTGCATCCTGTACCACCCACTCAAGACCTTCCTGCAGGTTCATTCCCGTCATGGCACTGCAGGTCATAACGTGCCATTTGTGTGTCTTGATGGCGTCGAGTCGCAGTCCCTGTACGCCACCGTTAGCATTGGCCCGCCAACCAAGCTCAACATGTTCGTAAGCCGTCTTCAACCCACCTCACAAATCTCGTCTTCCGTCATGGATCCGGGAACGTCGCTCTTGTTTTTGAAAACTAGCAGGCTTGCTCCGGAAAGGCGCTGCTCTTGTTAGTCGATCATCAGGAGGGATCATGCTTGTGCGAACCTCTTCCAGCAGCAACCCCGCCAACTCGTTCCGACAATCGTCTATTCGCTCGCGGTCGGTTGCATCAACAACCCAGATGAGCGTGTCTGTTTTCTCGAAATAGTTCTTCCAGTACGTGCGCAACGTCTTCTGGCCGCCGACATCCCCTGCTTTGTCAGTACAGCATTCTCCGGAGACATGCAGTTGCATTACATATATTCAGTTTGTATCTTTCCCGTTAGTTTCGTTCCGCAGGCTGGGCCATTGTACATACCCATCATACTCAATCGTCTTGATGATAAAACCGAGTGTAGGACTGACGCTGTTTACATCTTCGTTCATGATCTTTTTCACTATAGTCGTCTTTCCTGCATTGTCAAGACCACTGACGCGGTGAGCTTTTGGTATGGAAAACAATCTTGAAATAGATACGCACAGCATAAGAATGCGCATCTCCTTGTCCTTGAGACGCGCTTTTCGCAATATCGACAGCATTTTGTGCTTTTCACTTTCCAAGTTTGGTCTTGTTCGTTAGGCAGTCATTGGGATGAGTGGAGCTCACCAGTCAAGCGGCTAAACTGTTTACGGACGCTTGCACACGACAGCATGTCATGCTACAGCACCAACGTCGTAACCACGTCGCTTTTTAGAAAGCATGGCCACAAATTTATCGAATTCGGTAAATTACATGGCATGGAGTGGAAGGGGGCGTGAACAGAGCATTCCATCAAAGAATCGATTCCCTTTTCTTCATCATCGTCTGCGCGTGTTTGCTGTCTCAAGGACACTGAGTTTGTCTCGATTTTCCAACAGTAATCGTACCTATACTGCTTGCAAAAACTGCCTTCCTTCCTTGTTGTGCACTATTACCAGCCACGTGGGATGTGTCATAGCAAGACATAACTCCAGAATGGGAAGGAGGTGAGAGGGAATCGGCTTGCTCTCACCCAACACACTAGGCAGCTTCGGCGATGAAGCTATAGAACACTGAACCAAGGGCTTCAGAAATCAAGGTTCCTTGAATCCTCTTTTCTCTAGTCCTTTCTTCTGTTCCTTTGAGTATCCTCTCGAGCCCTTGCTTGTCTCTTCTCTGTTGGACGTGTCGAACCCGCACTATGAGCCGAACGGCACGCAACTGGTGTCCGCGCAGCACCCTGCCGCCGCTACCGCTGTTGATCGAAGTGGACGACTCCTCGGCCAATGAGTCCCACATCAACACGGAGCTGAAGAACGAACCCATGACCTGGCAGCAAGAGAAGGACTTCAAGGGTTCTCCTGTAAGTGAAGGCGCAACTAGCTTCCCATTTCGACTTCAGACCGCTCCGAAAATCCTGCATATGAAAATCGACTTTCTCTCAACCTCAACCTCAACCTTCTCACCTCACTTGCAGCTAACACCGGACAGGGCCTCAATAAACCTCAGTCTGGACGTCCTCACTGGCAGTCGTTGCCTTTCGAAGAACTTCCCACAGTACATATCGGTGCCGACAATAGCTGGGTAGCCCAACAAGCAGAACTCTCCCTTCCGACTCACCTACCTGAGTTGCACATTAACAACGCGATCAAGAAACAGAAGCCACCATACAAGCGGCGCTCCCGCAACAAGAAGAAGAAAACTGGAGACGGCGAAATGATGGGACCACCTGACAGTACGGCAAGGGTCTACGTCCCCCCTCATTTGCGCCATCGTAGCTTTGTCGACGCTGGAAAGGCAGACTCTGCTCACAGTAGCGGTGTTGCTGTCAGCGCATCACCTACTGCATCCAACCAGTCCAAGGACACCATCATCAGCAAGAATGATTCTGCCCCGTAAGTCTACTCAAGAGCGCCTTGCCGTCGTGCCCTGTATTTATTAACACATCTGTAGTAACGGTGTAGCTGATCAGCACCAGTCCCCATCCTTATCAGCAAAGACCTCGCACGATGCCAGACAAGACGAGAAGCGCGAATCCGCGATGCCTGAGCCTGTCGTTTACGTTGGTTGGGACGAGCCCAAGGAAACCCTTCCAATTGCGAAGAAGAACCCCGGAAACCCACGATGGGCTCGAGGCCCACAGCCATACAAGAAGACAACTTGGCCCAAAGCGAAAGATATGAAATACACACCTTCTAGCAGCAACAGTGACGGCGGCGTTGACTTCAAGTCTAATAGCGACGGAGATCCACACTACGACATCAAGAAGCTGGTAGACTGGAACGGCGATTGGTTGCCTCCTGAGATGTGGTCTGCACGCAAGGGCTACACGGATCGCCATTTTAGTGCTCACATAGAGCAATGGTGTAACACACATCCTCTAGATTGGAACAACGGAGTCACTCCCTACTTGCCACCCGATACATTTATCCAGGGTAAGGAGTTGGCACCTCGTTACTGGCTCGAGGTGAAGGTGGGCGGTGAAAGCCTCAGAGAGTTCTGGAAAGGTCTCGTGAATCCAGAGAAAGAGCCGAAACCTCTAGATGCGAACGATCTCACTGACTATATGCCCTGGTGGGAGCTCTATGAGGACGCGATTTATACAGAGACCATGGACGATGACGAGAGCCACAACCAGAAAATGGTCACCCATCCTACTAGCTACCTCCGCGCCCTAGACGTTCCGGATGCCAGGGTTGACTTCAATGATCCTGAATACCCATCGGCATCTTGGATGCTGGCTTCTGCACAAGAAAAGATTGAAGAGAAGAACAAGCGCGCAGCGGAAAAATATCGCAAGTTGATGGCGAAGCGGAGTCGCCCCGTTCCAGAGTCAAAATACCCTACTCCACAAATGGCAGACCGCCGGCTACATCCCGAAGCAAACATTTACATTCGACCTGTGAAGCCGGCCGATGTTGAGGGCATTTCGGTAAGTTGAATCATGCCCCCCAAACACGTTTGTGAACCTTCAAGGTTAGAGCGACAATAAATTTGAACTAACAGTGTCTAAGGAGATCTACAATTACTACATCAGCAACACTATTTTCGCGACTGAGTTTGACGAACGTACCATAGTTCAGATGGCTCAGCGAATCGCTGATATTGTGAACGCTGGTCTTCCATACTTGGTAGCAGTCTCCAAGAGCAATCGATCCAGGGCTAATCCAGGATGTGTTAGCGAGAAGATAGCTGGATTTGTCAATCTGGACGACTATTGCGGCCAGTCGAGCTCATACCGTTATACGTTTGAGATGGAGTTGTTCGTCCACCCAGGGTTTGTTTCTAAGGGGATCGGCAAATGCCTCGTGGATAGACTCCTCGAGATGGTTGATACCAGTTACCGCGCCCGTGGTGGATACCAGTACGTCAACGATGATACATACCTTAAGACTGGACCTGCGAGGGTCATCAAGACCATTTTGCTCAATGTTCAACACGAGAATGGCGAGGACTTGGAAGCTGATTGGCGAGGCAAATTCCTGAACGCCTGCAAGTTCTTCCGCGTCGGTCGATTCCCGAAAGTAGGCTACAAGAACGACAAGGTCCTGGACACTTCGATTTTTGCGCACCAGACTAAAGAGGATATTGATCCAAGCGCTCGTCCGACCGTCGCCAGCTGAACATGATTGTACATACAGTCGACGCCAGGTAAGTCACGTATAATAATTCAGAAATCTCCACTAACGTGACAGGTGCCAGTCGCCAGCTTGATGATCTGCCATAGCGTCAACCGTCAAACTCCCCAGACCACCACATCGATGCAGCACGGTCGAGTGCGTCTACTCTCTAACGAACCAAAAGTGTTTCCCGAACTGTCTTTCTTGCTTTGCGGTACTATGAACCTACGGTGGGAAACGTCTCATCATAATGAACCAGCATCTTCATATTTCTTCAAGTTCTTCTACTGGGTAAAGTGTCATGGTAACGGCGGCATCTGGCGGAATCCTCTTCAATACGAATACTTGATTCCACAAATGCTCCAATCCTTCGCGTAGTGCGACGTCAATGGTGATGTCGTCAACCCCCTTGTCGCATACCCCACCAAAAGGAAGGGGAGCGCGCCAAATCGTGCCCACCCATGACGTGTGACGTCACAACCCTCCCCAAAGCTTGGAAACGCGCCGCGTAACCTCACGCAACTAACATAAAGGCCGTTCTCTCCAGACCCCTAAACGACTAACTCTAGAAATTCGTTAGCTCCTACCACGTTCCAATCACCAAAGTAGATAAAACAACAGATATACATCTCCAAGTATTGTACGCGCGGACCAAAAGTTATCCAACATGTCAGACAAGAAGCAAGAAGAGCAGCCCCAGCAACAGCACATCCAGACTGAACCCCAGGATGACGAACAACAAGAGAAGAAGGGCTCTGGAGGTCTCCTGAGCACAATTGGAGATCCCATCGGTATGTAGTCTCGTCATCTTTATTAGCCTCCTGCCTAGCTCTCTCTACAAACAGCTCTCTCCTCCCATGCCTGTCCTAATATGCATCAAGGCAACGTTTTAGGCACAGCCCTCCGTCCCATTGGCGCACCGCTAGAAAAAGGCGTAACAGGCCCACTCGGTAACGCCCTCGGCGGCACCACACGACCCGCTCTCGGTCCCTTACTAGGCCACGAAGAAGAAAGATCTGAATTGCTAGGCGGTAAGAACAAGGATAGCTATGAGAGTACACCGGAAAAGATTGCAGGAAAGGAGCAGACAGGGCAGAACCCTCTGGGCTTGGATCAAACAGGACGGTGGGGATTTGAGGACGAGAAGAAATAGACGGAGAGAAGAGCAAGTGTAGGATATGTTTTGTCAAAGTTCTCAGTTTTGTGTTATTAAGGAAGGAAATGGCGGTACGGGTATATCCTTTGAAGAACTCCCAAACTCCAATGATCTAGTGACCCGAGATGGTCAAAACATCTCACTCATACCACTCTCGCCCAACACTCCTTCTTCGTAAAGACTCTGGTCCCTACCTTCCGTTTGCTCACCATCATTCGTATACTCCTGCCTCCTCTTCCCTCTAAACGTATCATCCAATCCCTGCACTGTCCCCACACTATCTCCATACCCTAATACATCCTCTTCTACTTGTTCCTCCTCCATGTCCTCGTTCGCCTCAGCCTCGATTCTACTCACACTCAGCTCAGGTATCGGTGTCCGCCCTGTAAGAATATCGAATAGACTGTCATCTGAATCCCCTTGCTCATCCTCATCATCACGCTCAAAGCGCAGAATCTTGTCTTTGCCCTCCGGCCACACCAGTACGTGTGCTTGTTGATGGGCAAATATGAACGCTGGTTTCTTATCTGGTGGGGTGAAAAGCCAGGATATTGTCCAGCGGGGTGGTAATGAACCAGCTGGTTTGGTGATTTGTGGGGATAGGCTTATTATGGCGGGTGGGTGTGGGAAATACGAAGATGCGAGAGCCGCCGAGGAAGACGAGGTCGAAGACGAGGGTATGTGGGATGATGCGGCTGTATACAGGTATACGGTAGGTTCGTCTTGAGTGGTTTGTATGATTAGACGATGCGGATCGGTAGGGTGCCAGAGCAGGTTCCTAATAGGACTGTATTGGATCAATATACAGCGTGGTCGGAGACTTGTCAGATCCCATATCCACGCGGTACACGGCGTGCTGTCGTCGCGTGTTGCACACAACGTGCCGTCTGCGTTGAAAGTCAACATGCCGATGCCTTGCTTCATGAGCCCTGTTTCATTCTTATCCAAGGCAGCTTTCGGAGGGGTCACAGGCTGCTGAGTGGTCGTATAGCTGCGATTGCCTTGGCCGTCGACATGTTCGCTGTATACCGGCGCACTAGGTACATCGATGACAGGTGTGTGGTCGAGGAAGACGATGGGTGCGAAGGTACGTGTAGAGAGGATGCGAACGCGACGGTCCCACCCACCAACTGCCAGACGTTGGTTACCGGGTAGCCATTCGAGTGTCTTGATACCCAAGCCCTCAACATGCCACTCGCTAACGTCGTCCGAGGGTTCGCGGGTTATGGTGCGATACAAATGTCCGTCGGCAGTGTAGATGTGCAGTTTATAACCAGCAGAGGCCGTGTCCCAGACGGCCAACCAGCGGCCGTCACGGCTCCATCTGAGGCCCGCTGCGTCTGAAGTTGTCAACTCTACACGATTGAGAAGCTTGTATGTACCCGGCGCCAAAAGAAGTAGAATATCAGCGCCTGCTACGCGACATAGTAGAGCCAAAACACCACCTCTTCTCCTTCCCGCGCCTGCCTCTGTATCCTCAGAAGGGCGATATCCCCACCCCTTGCCGTCTTTACCCAGAAACTTGGGGTCACGTATCTCCACGGCTCTCCCAGTTTTCAGACACCATATCTTGACGGATGCGGTGAAGTCACTCCAGACAAGTACTTCATCCTCATTGGCGCCAAACTCGGCGTGTACGTTCTTGCCCATGCCGCCTGAGCCATTGCTAATGATGGCATTCCACCTCTCGTCTCGAAGATCGTATACGCGTGTTGTGTCATGATCGGATAGCAGGACACGGTTCGAGCAGGGGCGTGGTGTACGCGACGATCGGCGGGGGGGGGTTGAGTTGGGGGAACGGCTCGAGATCGAGGTCGCTAATGGCGGTGTAGTAGGAGGCGACCAGGCGATCTTTGAGCTTCTTAGATCCTGACTAGAAGGTATTGCTATGCTCTGGACAATTTCCAGCGTGTTGAGACATCGTATCTGCAAGCGAGCGCCGTTGAGGCAAGCAACGTGTGTTGCCGTCGGCGACGGGACAGAGACATTGGTTGCTGGCACTGGTCAGTAGCGATCGCATACTATGGCTTCGTATCATGGCTTGCATTTGAATTTTGTCGTCACGAATATGTCTTCCATCTTGTCGGTAGGCTTGTTGGATGCGACGAGAATGTTTAGATTCGGTAAACAAAGGGCAGGCGCGGAGGCTGGCCAATAGGAGTTCAAAGTGGCCGCAATTAGCGTGCTTGTCGTATGTGAAGCGCGAGCATGCCCACCAAGGAGCGATGGAAACTCTCATGTCTACCCAGGTAAATTTACCAGAGCTATGTGAATTTTGTTTCACGATACATAGAAAATATGTCCCTATACAAATCCCAACCGTAACAACAGCGAGGGTATCGGCGTGCACTTCCAAATCTACCAACGAAACGCTCAAAAATACGCCATCATTCGTCCATGGGTATATCTTAGATACGGATCCAATCTGAGAGCCCAATGCTGCTATAGAGAAGTGAAGAAGGAAATCATCCAAACGCTTGCTTGCTAGATCGCTCAATTCAAATCATCCACCTTGTCGTCGTCACCGCTCAAGTGCTGTACACTGGAGCCTTGATCAAGATGCTCTTTCCACGAATCTGTACCGCGACACCGACGGCCATGCGCACGCGTGGTGGTGGAGACTCATCTTTTGGTCCCCCAGAGCTGCCCGGTGGATGTTGCGTAAGACTTTGCTGGCTGCCACCTTGACCGAGAGACGATTCTCGCTTGCCCAGGGTAGCAGGAGAAGCCGTCGCCTTCTTTGATGCACCAAATCCGAACATACCGCGCTTCTTATCTTCTTTTTGCGGTTGGCCTCCTTGTAGCTGTGCTTGCTCTTGTTCGGCAATGGACATGTTGTCGTCAGGTCTAGATGCCATGCTTCTGATCGAAGCTCTATCCGCGTCATCCAACTCCATAATGGGTGCTGTTAATGCGGGGATGCCGGATTCCAGCTTCATAAAGTCGGCGACGATGCCGTGACCCGGAGGGAAGTATTCAATATGTACTTCGCGGCTCTCAAGCGGTAGATGCTGAGCAATGCTGATGGCCAGTTCGATGATCATAGGCACGCCTCCGTTGAGGTCTGCCGGCGCAGGGTCGTTCAAGTGCATCTGGAGAGACGCGATGAGTTTCTCATTGAGTGTTTCAGTCAGCGTCTCGCGATTGGAAGTAGCTTGTGGTGCTCTCAACACATCTGCCAGACCTTCCAGTGTCGCCAGCCGCCAGTTGATGATTTTCGCGGCAAGTGTGTCTTCGTCTTCGGTGCTGTGGCAAGGCGGCGAGAACTTGCGGATATTCGAAACGATCGATTGCAGTTGTGTCGAAAAGCCCGGCTCTAGGTCCGGATGGAAGTACTTGTCAAATATGTTTTCTACCAACCAGTGCGAGATGAAGGCACGGCCAACAGCTGTCATCTCCTGCTTGCCTGTCTCGACGGCAGTTTTGTTGACCACGACATGCAACCACTGCGGTATGGTTTTCCAATCCTTGCGGATGGAGAAGGATAGCTGTGCGATCAATCCATCCAATCGATTGAAGCGCGTTGCGTATTCGCTGTCGTCCCAAGATGTGCGGGAGAGCGACAAGCGCTGATTGGCGAGGGTGTTTTGCAGCTGATGAACCTGTGACTGTTGCTCGAAGAAGTATCGCTTGACCTTTTGGTACTTTTCGCCTGTACGAAGTTAGGTGAGTCGGTTCATTGGATGGGAATCCACTTACGCAGAACATCGTGCTCCTTTTGCAGCTTCTCGACATCGTCCTCTGTCATATCGGCGACGGAGGTTCTTGGCGGAGGCGTTGCCCGTCCCATTTCTGAAACCTGTTGGCTCTGCTTCTCGCCGCGATATGGCTGCCCCTGTGAAGCTGTTGGTACGACGTTAGCGTCGAATGTTGCGAGGCCCGGCGAGACAGGCGGCTGACCGAGTGGCTGACCTTGAGCGGGAGGCTGTGAAAGTAGGGATGACTCTCGGGACGGTTGCCCTGTCTGCGGTTGGCTGCCGTCGACCACTTTTCTTAGCGTGTTCCTCGCATTGCTCTGAGCACTGGGTGCCATGTTGTCCTGCGACTGGTGTGGGGGTGTTATGTTTGTCGGTGGGAGATCGGACGGTTGCGTATGCTGGGCGTCGTATGTCTGGTAGGACGGCGGCTGGAGGGGAGACGGCGGGGCCAGCTGGTGGGACGGAGGGGGCTGACGTTGTTGCGACTCGATCTTCTGGGCCTCTTGCGCAATCTGGGGATGCTGCGAGGCTGGTCGCACAGATTGAGGCTGTTGCTGTGGGTCTTGGTGCGGCTGAAGCTGCTGCGCAAACTGCTGTTGCTGTGGGTAAAGTGTGTTTTGGTGGGCACTTTCTAGCGATTGCTGGTACAGGTGGTAAGTTTGCGGGATGTCCAGTGGTACCTGCCCACCTTGGCCATGCGGCTGAGCGTTCTGGAGGAGGGGGCTTGGCACGTTTTGCGGGTTGAAGGCCTGGTAGTCGGTCACGGGCTGTGGGGGTGGGGGTGGAGCGGCAGGCTGGTAGGTTTCGTATTGGTGTTGCTGGTGGTGGTGGTGTTGTGGGTGTTGTGGGTGCTGTTGATGTTGTTGTTGCTGTTGTTGCTTCTCAGAGCTGTATTGATCTACCCCGCCTTGGGTCGAATAGCTGCCCTCGGTGCTTACCCTGCCAAGTGGGGGCCGATTGTACTGTTCCTGGTGCGGCGGCGGCACAAATTGTTGTTGAGGCTGCTGCAGTTTCTGCTGGTATTGGATGTCCTTGGGCGGCACCTGGGGCGTCTCGTTGTCGTTTTTCTGGAGGAAAGGGTCGAGGTTGTCCTCGTCCTGCTCGTTGGAGGCGGGCAGGTGGGACGTCGAGCCTTGGTGGTGCTGATGCCACTGCTGCACACGACTGTCTTCCTGCGCTTGGTACTCCTGCACACGGGGGTCACTCTTCCGGACGGATTGGCGTCTACCCAGGCCGTTCTTCTGTGCTTTGGCCTCCTGGTCCTTGTGGCCCTTGACTCCGGCTGCAATGCGACTGCGCAGCGACTGCTTCTTGGGCTCGGGCACGTATGCCGCGGGCGGGGGCTGGGCTTGATAGGCGCCGCGGTGAGGCGACTCGAGAGCAGATGCGGGCGGAGGCCCAGCTTGTTGCTGGTAGTTCTGCACCGACGGCGGCGGCGATGACGGCGACGACGACTGGCCCAGGGAGAGATGGGCGCTCAGCCTGTGGCTCGTGGTGCGCTGGGGAAACTGCTGATCCCTATATTGAGGTTGCGGTGGTTGCACAGGCGGCTGCTGAATCTGCACAGGTGCTGGCTGGCTGCCGTCTGGATTTTGGTATCGCTGCTGGCCTGCGACCTGTTCGTTCACTGACAGCGCTTGACCGTCAGCCGGGGCGACGATTGGCCGGCCAAAAGGCTCCTTACCAGATGGCACAGGCGAATGCTGCCCTGACGAGGAATTGTCGACAGATTGGTGCGACCGGTTCGACTTGGTCCATGGAAAGTTAGGCATCGCAGTGTTGGCAGCTTCAAAGCTCCGCCAGCAAGCAGATTGTCGATGGCGGGGCGGAGACAGACGCGCTCAGCTAATAATAAAACAAGACTGAGCAGCCGTCAACTACGCCGGGTAAGACTGCATTGCGCGCGGTTGGACAGCCTCAACTCAAGTACAATGCATCGAGCTCCATAGATGCACGCCGTAGGCTGATCAGCCCAAGCCCTGCCGCACGTGCAGGCCAGCGGAGCAAATGGACTGACATGGACAAGGCAACACCAGTCCCGCTCCAGCTAACACCGGAACAACTTGCTGATGTCGCGACATCTGGTGCCGTGGCAGTGCTGCCTCGACCACTGCTACTACCCGTCAGACCATCCAAAGGCTGTCAATGTGCTTCTAGCTATTCGACGTTTCATCCGTCCCGTCTTGTGGCTGCCACTCCCGCGCCTCAGTAACACGTCCAGACAACAAACACGTCTGAATCTAGATACGTATGCTGTGCCCAAATCCTGGCGGATGGTAACCTGCAATAACAGCACCAAGTGGGGACTACAGGTCTTAGTGTAGGCGGCGTTGCGAGCCTTCTTTCATTAACCTGTCTGGAGCTGCAGGCGCCCCTGCGTACCAGCTAGGGTGTGCATACATCGCCTTCCCAAGACCATACCAAAATACTGATATGCTTCTCAACACCTCTCCTCGTACATTTCTCGCGATGCAAAGTTTGACACTCTGATGGTCACATTGCCACATGTCCGAGGAAACGAATGCCTCAGGTAACAGATTGTATCAAAACCCTCAGTGACTACCAGAGCGAGCAAACTTGAATACGGGCCATAACTGCATGCTGCTTCCTCAGCTCTGGCAAAACAACATGCGGCTATTTTTGGCGTCTTACATGCCCTAACCTCGTTGGACTAGCTCGATATCGCTTCAGTTGTGATGCCTGTGTGAGGTTCCCTAAACGTCCGCTATTACACCACTTCTGTACAAACGTCGAAAAGCTGACTGTCAGCCACTTCTGCAAGCAATTTACTAAAACTCAAATTTTGGCATTTACGGAATTCACCGGCACTTTTCGGTCATATTTGGCTGTGACCGGACAGCAGGTCGACGCAAAGGTACCTAAGCATGTCGGTCGAAGCGGGTATGCGCGCCTCCTCGAAGGTGCATAGATAGCTCCTATCTGCACGAGTACGGCACTGCAAGGAACGACTCTAGTTTGGGAAATTGTCCCTCGCCTCCTTTCCTTCAACGGCGCATGCACAGAGGTGGCATTAATCGACGACCCACCACAGGGCATCTACTACTGGCCTGCTCAGTCTGTAGGCACGAACAAGTTGGCAGCACGGGTCTGACGGGTCACCTCGACCAACCAGTACTCTGCCAACTACAAGCAACAGCAATACTGCCCAGCTATAAGCTTCGAACTTTGGATGCCAGACGAACATTGCAGGTGCTTTACTATGTTAAGTGCACTGACAGTTCCGAACTACGGCAGGATGTAGACAAACTATGCTCCAGAGGTACCGCTCCTACACAAGCCACTCTACTACATTGCAGAACCCGTTCAGGCATCGACTCCCTCTATGAGCGTCTCCCAGTGAATACAGCGCACCGCAAAGTCCAAATCCTATTTGTATCTTTTGGAGCGAAAGCCATCTCATCCAGCTTGCTAACACCATCGATCGTTTCCTTCAAGAGGGACCACAGTTTGAGAGAAGTTCTCCGGAATGAGTCTGATCTGTATACTCCATTAAAGTCGTCCACAGACCTTCTCTAGCCTATCGATACTTGCTACCCGCCAAGGAACCAACTCAGAAGCCAGCATTATTTTGAATCCAAAGTAAACAGTCACTAGCGAAGGTCTTGCGCAGGTCATTACTAACAGCATATTGCTGGTTGATTCCAGATGGATGATATGGTCACTCACTTCTCACACGCCAGTACTGCCTTATAGAGGGATGAGAGGCTACTTCTGGGCTGTCGCACGCTCAGAGTTGGTTGGATACCATCTTTAGAGACTGGAACTATGTTCCGATCATTTCATATAGCGGTACATAACTCCCTCCCTCGGTCGAGCTACAGCAGATATGCAGTGCTGCGAAGCTAGGGTGGAGACTCTACAGAGTGATTCATACACGAGGTGTTGATGATGGCTTGAAAGGCAGCATAGAAAAGGGAAGAATTACATCTCGCAATACTCAAACTGAATCTCAGTTCCCTTTCACTTCACTTTCGAGCCTAAACGCTCATTAGTCAGTACGCGTTTGTCGGTCTGGCACTTTTCCATCGTTCATTTATTTACTCAATCCATACCGCTTTGTGACTCCACACTACGAATACATGTCGAATCCGGTTCGTAAGACCATTTTGCGTAGAGAAGGCTCTGGAAACCCACCAATCATGGCATTAACTGCCGACGCAATACCCGCATCAGAGCCGCCAAAAGGGCTGCTGCCAACAACCGTACGCCAGCCACTATCCTCACTACTATACCCAAAGGTTGCAAAAGCATCATCATCATCATCACATGAGGTGCCGCTTCAGTCGCCAACAGTCCCCCACCCAGGCAAGCGGCTACCATCTCCACCTAGATCCCCAGCAATGACGCATCCAGAATGGCCGCTATCAAGTACTGCACCAGGATGTACACCAGTCTTTGTCTTGTCCCCCGCCCCAGAACTAATGTCACCCTTATCAACGACATCGCCATTTCCAACAAGTCTGCCACCTCGTCCCCAACTTGCGCAAACCGGAAATTTCATATCTCGACTCTTCATGCGCGCACCTGCTCACCCATGCGATGTGGAACTTGGTACGCTTCCGCAGCGCCGTACACGGGAGGCTCGCGTCATGACTATGGGAGACAAGCAGAGGAGGAGGGATGCAAGGGTAATCAGGATCAAGATTGCAGGAGCGATGTTGGTAATTATTGGGTTTTGGGTATTGGTGGGCTTGGAGGTCTGGAGGAGACAAAGAGGTGAAGGTTACGATGGGATCGAAGGTAGGGAGAGACGGTCGTAGATATGTTGGGATAACGAACCGAGGGCACAAAGTTGTATATTCTCTTGTACATTACAAAAGAAGTCGAGGAAAACTGCCTCTCTCCAAGTATGATCAACCACTAGAACCGATGTTCTACATACATGGAACGTATGTGCATTGTGTACAACTCAGATCGGCGTTCAAGCCCACTTTCACTTTCACTTTCACTTTCAGAATCATTATCCGCATAAGTTTTGACCTACCGGATTCAACATGTTTAGCTTCTCTGCTCTCCACGGCGCCGTTACAGATTTTGAGGCTTTATCATCCAGCAGTGTCTCTTCGCCGACCCCAGAGACGACATCGACTGAACCATATGATATAGACCATATCACTCTTCAGATGGCAGATACAGAGCGAGAAGATGTTGTGTCCGACAAGAACCAATCCATTGCGAATTTTTCTGAGATACCTGACCACAATCCAACACCATACCATCACCTCGATCTCTCAACTACCCGCTACGTCCCCAACAACAATACTGTTATCACCGCAACGATATTAGGCACCCCAACATTGGACGCACCCAAAGACAAGACAAGCATCCGGTCTCAAATCCCATCAGAGCGACACATTAATCGCGCCAACATCACCAACGTCAACACCAACGCCAGCGACGTTGAGCTAGGCACACTGCCAAACTCGACCGTTACAACACGGTGTTACTACTCGCCGTCCTCCTCTTCAGCAGCAAATACTCTTCAACGCCAACGCACTCGAAGGATCCTCCATTATGTCATGGTGGCTTTGGCCGGAATGGTGGTGATTGTTGTTGTGGCTTGCGCCATCGTTTATGTGGTCGCTTCACTGAAGTTTTCGAGGGCATCGTGAGGTGACAGTGAGCGGGGGTGGATGACATGACAGAGGATGAGATGGGAGACTGAGCAATTAGCGATCAGGAAAGAGAACTAGACAAGGTCCAGTTTCGACGGCTTGAGCAAATACAAAGACTTGAATAATTATCGCCAAAGAATTGACATTCGGGTTGCTACATGGTATCATTTGCTGCGCATGCATGAGTTGAGTGCGTCGACTATTGTTGTACCTCTTCCACATATCCCAAGGCCTCTCCCACCTTGACCTTCATCCCCTGTTCAATATTCCACTTGAACCCGCCTTTCCTCTCCGTGCCAGTGAAGCCCTCGTCGAGACTGGGTCTTAAGCCCTTTGGCGCCTCGAAGACTAGCACGATGGTGCTTCCCAGCTGGAAACCACCCATCTCTTCACCGCGCTTGAGAGAGTGACCACCCAATACGCGACTAGCTGAGGTGTAAGAGGCCTCGGCGAATCCCGAGTAAGGTTCACCTCGCGCAGCAGCTTCTTCGGCGGCACGGTCGGCGGCAGTATCGGTGGTGAGGCTGTTGGTGCGGAGTTCACGATCGAAGTTGATCTTGATGGAGCCGACATTGGTTGCGCCGACAGGTGTGTAGGAGAAGAAACCCCATCGCCAACGGCCGAGTAGCACGACGCGCTCGTTCAATGTGAACAAGCCGGGCATGGTGCGTTGCAGGTATGGCGATACGCTGTACAGTTCACCAGCGAAGTGGCGACGCGATTCGACGACCCACGATACGGGAGAATGGAAACGGTGGTAGTCCCCTGGTGCGAGGTATACGACGCAGTAGTAGAGTGCCGTGGGTGTCTTCTGAGACGCGGGAGCCCACCAGGGGCGCTCGGCTTCACTCAGGGCCATCTCTGCGCGGACCTCAGCTTCTGAAGAGGCGGCCGGTGCGGTAGATTGATCGGTTGGCATTTCTGCTGGCTTTCCGCCTTTTGGCCATGGCCCCGAGAACAGGTTGGGGAGAGTGTAGGAGATGCCGTTCACGTTGGCAAATTCCTCGTCGGCACGGACCGTGTCTTCTTCGTCCTTGGCTGTCTTTTCGTGCTCGCTGGCAATGACCTGCGAGCTTGCGACGTTCTGGGCGGGCGTACTTGGCTTGGTGGAGCCTAGGAGGGCGTCCAGACTGTATGTCACGCCCTTGACTTGCTCGACTTCGCCGTGCTCGATGGTGCCGAATTGGATGACCTTGCCGTCTGCGGGGGACAGGACGGCGTTGGGGTTGGGATCTAGAGGGCGGACGCCGGGTTTGAGGGTGCGGTAGAAGAAGGCGGCGAGGTTGGGGTAGACATGGAGATCAGGCTCTGAGACCTCGGAGAGACTGGCTGGTCAGCACGCAACTTCTCCCAATGGCAACATTTCGAACGTTATCTTGGAAAACATCGAGTACTCACTTGACGCCGAAGATCCACGAGTAGAGCTTGAAGCCGGGGACTCGGAGGTAGTAGGGAATGTCGATCTCGTTGAAGCGCCCCCAGACGCGCGAGAGGGCCTTGAGCGGCAGCGTGGACATGACCTGGACTGTCCATGGCCCGCTCGGCCGTATCCTCTCGCGCTTCTTGGGCCGGCCCTGGCTGTCTGGCGCGCCCTCGTCGCCATTCTGCCTCTCGACCTCTGTGTGCTTTTCTCTGCGCTGTATGCGGTACAGCTGGAATGCGCCGAGGAAGCCAATGCCCAGGGCTATCGGGATGGGCTCCCACTTGATCTTGGTCTTGTTGAGCGCCGCGTTGAGCCGGGACCGGAACGACTCTTTGCGGTGGAAGTTCTGCTTGTCACATGTTGCGCGGGTCGACGAGAAGGTGCGTGAGGGGACCGAGAGGCGCGCATTGGGGCATGTGTGGGTAGCGAAGCGCGGGCGCAGAGGAGCCCGCATGAGCTGGCGTGAACAGGGAGACGCCATGGCTGTGGCTTAATGCATCGCCAACGAGCAATTCCCCAGCAAAGATGGCAGGCGAAGGCGTCGCGTGGTGGAGGGAAAATCGACCTGCTCGGTTGACCAATGACGTATCCACCTGCGACGCCTCTCTAGCGCGCAACGGCCATGGCTCCGCACGTCGCCATCGTCCACTGTCGACTGCTGCATCGTGTGCGCCCAAGTTGCAACATCTGGCACATCGGGACGGCGGCCCAAGTTGACGTTTGAACTGTTCTGGCAACAAAGAAGACCACCGTAGATGGCAGGCGTGACCGTGGCTCCCAAGGTTGTTGACACCGAGCTCTAGAACGGACACGTCGTCACTTCTCTACTCCCATCTATCTGCACACTTCGCCTCTCCCCATAGTCTGCCGCTACCCACACAGCGACCATGGCGGAAGAAGCGCAGACCATCAACCTCAAGATCCTCTCTCCCTCGACTGAGGTGGAGGGCGGCGTGAATCTCGCAGACGTACCCGCTTCAACCACCGTCAAGGAGCTTCGCAGCCGCATACAGGATGCGGCGCCCTCCAAGCCTGCACCTGAACGCATGCGCCTGATCTACCGGGGGAGGGTCGTGGCCAATGATGCCGACACACTAAGCAATGTCTTCGGTGTTGACAACGTAGGATCGCCAATCGCAAGCAGCAGACATGGGCTAACAGTGAATGTAGATTCGTGAGAGCAAAGACCAGAGCCTCCATCTGGTACTACGAGAGCTCCCTACTGCTGGGAACTCTTCAGCATCACCTGCTCCTCCATCTTCAACCGTTCCGCCCAATCTTGTTCGCCCCCAAGCTCCAGCTCTGCCTGCAAATCCGCTTCAGACGAACCCGTTCAGGACGCTGCCGCAGGCTCGACCAAATTCAATACCACCATTACCACAACCCCACCAGCACCATCTCCCGGGAGCCCAAGCACACGTGATCCCCATTCCTCTGCCTCAACAGGTACAGCACCAACTTGCTCACGCCATGGCACAGCAAGGACAACAGGATAGCGAGCGAGTTCCAAACGCGACATCTGAGCAGCCTGGACAAGAGACACAGAGACCTGCTGATGCCGCTCAACCGCCGCTTCCCGGTGTAACGCCTCTGCCAGCAATGGGGCTACCCAATCTTCCCGGCCATGGCGACCAACCACTGCGGCGCGAAGGTGTTGGACCCAATGGGGCGCGGTGGACAGTCACATACAACCACGTCAACTTACCTGCGCGAGTTCAGCAGCCTGTTCCTGCATTTGCTCTTCCACGTCCACTGGGTTTCGCTCGTCCACCAATTCCACCAGGCGTTCTTCCCTCAATGGGCCATGACAGTGCACAGCGCTTATTGCCACGGATTCAGACCATCTTCCAGGAAACACAACGGGAGATGGAAAATGTTCGTACGCTACTACAGCCCACGCGCGAGCCAAGCACCCAAACCGATCGACCTTCGATATCAAACCCCCTCCCCTTGCAGCTACCTATTTGGCGAATTGACTACATACGCCAACACCTGAACACGATCAACCAGAACCTGAACGTTGTCGAGCGGGCCCTTTCCCTCCTGCCTACCGAACCGGAAGTGGCAGCGCTACGACGTTCGGTTATCGAAATTAGGGTAGATGCCTTAGAATTGAACATCATACTTGATCGGCAACAGGGCGGTCCTATTCCCAGTCAACCAAGCACCCTAGCTACATCCACAGATCCGGCGACCGCTGGTGTATTCGCCGGCACAATACCAGGTGCTCCGGTCATGACGCCAGCCGTGCCAACTACATCACAACCACGAGCACAGAATGCTACGCAGACTTCGTCTGCAGATGCACCAGCCGAGCTGTTCCTCTTGTCCAGCCCACAAGGACCTGTTGGTCTTCTCTTTGACCAGCAGGGTACATACACTACGGCTCCTATGGTATCCACAATGCCATTCCAGAGCTTCACGACCCAGTTTGCCCAGAATAGACAGCTTATTGCTGGGCTAGGGCAGCACATGGCACAAGGATCGACCCAGCTGCACAATCAACTAGCAGACCTCCAACCGACACCAACACAACAACCAGAGGCTGGCGGTCAGGCTTACAATCAGGAACAAGCGCACAATCAAATGCAGAACCAAAACCAGGATCCGATTGCAAATGCAAACGCGAATGCGAACCAACCAGAAGAAAATGATCGTATGATCAACGTTTTTGGGCACTTGTGGCTTATTTTCAAACTGGCTGCATTTGTCTACTTCTTTGCAGGAGGTGGTGGTCTCTACAGGCCCATCATGCTCGGCATTGTTGCTGGTGTGGTTTATCTGGCACAAGTAGGCGTGTTCCAAGAGCAGTTCAATCTTGTACGTCGTCACTTCGAGGCCCTGCTTCCCGTAGGGGCCCTGGCCGACCGTGTGGCTCAGCCCAACAATCAACGCCAAACCCAGCAGCGAGGCAACCTATCGCCTGAGGAAGCGGCTAGGAGATTATTGCAGCAGAGGAGAGACCAAAGATTTGGGTGGATCAGAGACAGCATGCGCACCGTCGAACGTGCTTTTGCTTTATTCGTTGCCAGTCTGTTTCCCGGTGTTGGAGAGCGAATGGTACACGCGCAGGAGGAAAGGGAAAGACTTGAACGGGTGGCAGCTCAAGAAGAAAGGGAACGTCAGGAGGAAGATGCGAGGAGAAGGGAAGAAGAGGCTCAAGCACAGCGCGAGCAGAGAGATGAAAACAAGGCTGGAAACGATCTCGCGACGCATGAGAGATTGGATTCAAGTGCGAGCGCCAAAGGCAAAGAGAGGGTGGTAACAGTGGAAGACGAACCCTCAGGCTCTGCTTCTTGATATTGGCGTGCAGTTTCATAACACTCAAGTAGCAGTTTCCAAACAGATACCCATGCTTAGACGTCAATACATACATCACACCCTCGGTCCACGGGGAGTATATCTCATCCGGCGCTACATTGCCTTTGATATACGATACGTCTCTGACCGCCGACCAGTGGCGAAAGCGCACGCGATGTTCACGGCGAGTCCAGCCTGGTTGCATCTTGTCGCAATGCGTGGCCGGGCCTGGGCAAGCTTCAAGTCAGCGGAAGTTATTCCGAGGTTTGAAGCTGGGGCGCCTGCCATGTACAAGACCAGGGTCCATGCTAGCGCACAATCAGCTAGCACACCTCCACACGCACGCGGATGCACCGAGGAGCTTTTCGGCGCGTTTCGCCTTCCTTTGTTCCGCCTTGCGTCGCATACCATGATCTTTGGGTCTGTTGTAGACATTGTTTCTGAGGCTCAGTGAAGAGAAATAAGCCCAACTCAAATCCCCAGCTATAGAGACTTCGTGCGGCCATCCAAGCTATGCCGGAGACGCCCAGTTCAGACTACAGAACGGTCATATAGCGTTGCCGAACATAATAGGGCAAGGTCAAAGGAATGAACGTCAAACAAGCGGCATGTCTCAACTGCCGCAAAAGCAAAATTAAATGTCGGCGCACAGAAGGCGCGCCGATATGCGAACGATGCCAGAACGTCGGCATTGAGTGCATCATTCCGTAAGTGTGCCTGTACGAACTGCATGTGAGATACACACTGACTTCGCATACCTTCATCTAGCGAGTTTCACATTGGTAGACAAAAGGGTGTAAAAAAGTAAGCCATCAGTTCTGATCATGCCAACTGGGCTGACAATCTGGAAGCAAACGATCAGGCTTAGAGAAAGCGATATACCAGGTCGAGGAAGCCATCAAGAAGAGGAAGTCGGATGCAGCTACGAGTCAGAGTACGCTGCAGCAGCTGCAACAACTCCTAAACGAGGCACAAAGGGACGAGGACTCGAACCAGAACCAGAACCCGGACACGTCTCCGGCCTCAGAGGTGTACCCACAAGCATCAGTAAACAATCTCGTTGGCACTTCAAGCGATGACCAGCTCGCTGTTGAAGATGTCGAGAACCCGCTCCAGCTCCTCGCTCGGGCATCGGATCTACGGATTGCAACCCCACAATCGTACAACCCGAGTACCGCCAGTCCAGAAGGCAGGTTCAATGGCAGCGAACAGAGCGCATTTCTGGACGTTCATCATTTTTTCCTCCCCATGAAGGCAAATCCTGATCAGGGCTCAGGATTGGATCCGATCGATGTTGGTCTTGTGACCAAGGATGAAGCTGAGATGCTTCTACAGTAGTAAGTTCGGCATCGACATCTTCATTGCAGATACACCGAAGTGACTTGCAGAATCTAGTTTTCACAAGAAACTAGCGCATACGCGCTGGGGACTCGACCCGTTGGTACACACGTTGCCTTTTGTCCGGAACCGCTCAGCCTTCTTGTTCACTACGTTACTAGCCATGACTGCCATCTTTCTGCCAGAAACCTCTGCTCTGGCTAAGCGGCTACTACTGCATCGCAGGTTTCTGGCAGAACAGGTCATCACTCGAAAGTACAGATCTGTCGAAATCGTGCTAGCTTTCATGGTCAGTATACCTTGGATGCCTCCAGGGTCGCATGCGAGCGATGATGATACCAGTCTCTACTTGGCTACAGCTCTATCCATCGCGCTGGACTTAATGCTAGACAAAGTAATCACACCGTCTATATCTTTCGACCAGGAAGTCGTTAGACAGATACCGAAGGCTGAGTGTCTCCACGCAAGAAAAGCACTGGCTATGGACGGCTTCGAAGATGTCGACCCAAACTCGGAATGGGGCCAGCGACTTCTGCGGCGCAGAGAAAGGGTCTGGATCTCCCTATTTGTATTGGAACGTGGAGTCTGTCTAGCCCGCGGCCGCAGCTACTGTGTTCCCAAAACGTCTTTGATTCAGTACTGCGACAAGTGGCACTTCAATCAGTACGCTGATGCCCAGGACGGACCGCTCATATCGATGGCAGTACTCCGCCGCGATCTTGATGACCTCTTTGCTGAGGTGCGAACGCGCTGTGACAATTACCGTCTTGTCGAGGTGGGCTCAAAGGTCGCCCAAGAAATTGACGGGTCTGTCGAAAGCTTCTTCGATAGCTGGTCTCGAGCCTGGCCTTCTGTGATCGCTGATCCAGAGAGTAAGAGTCTACCTCCGTATGTCGAAATTCTGGTCACACATACACGACTTTCGACCTATTCAATGCTTCTTAATCACCCAAGCGCACCTCCAGAAGTCAAACGATCATTTCGCAAGTCGGCGCTATCTTCTGCACTCAACGTTATGCGCGCGGCAATCCAAGGCGAGTCTCGTCTCAAGTCGATGCCGAATAACACAGTCACGATGATTTGTTTTGCTGCAAGCATAGCACTCGCTTTGAGTGCACCCGTACCGGAGGGTAGTGGAAACAAGAAGAGCCTTGCCCCAAGTGTTCGACATCTCATCGAAGACACAGCAACGGTTCTTGAGCGTATAGGCAGCACACCAATTCATCGCAACGGTGCCTCCGTTGTTTACGGTCGCTTCTTGCGCGTTCTCGTCAAGCAGGCGCCGGACATTGAAAGGATGATCCGATTGCCATCGCACGATCCTGCACCATCATCCATGGCCATACCAGACCTTCTGTCACCGTCATATAAGGTCAATGAAGCATTGCCCGAGAACCACACGATGGGCCCGGATCCGATTTCTAGCTACTGGCCGGATACACTTGACTTTTCGGCCATGTCGTACAATGAAGTTAACGAGACTGTGACGAACTCAGACCTGTTTTCAACGGCGCTGTTGGATCTGCCTTGGAATGACAGCAATCCATTATGGACGGACTGGATGAATCTACCGGACTTCAACTTCCCGTAATGCTTGAGAAGAAGCTGCTTGACAGCTTTTCTAACCGGTCCAAAGCATTTTGGGAACCCTGAACAGGTCTCTGATTTATAGGGATGTTTCCACGCTGCCCGTTACCAGCCTGTGCTAGTCGCGGAGCAGAGTGGATAGCATTTGACGGGTCGCCAAGTAGGAGAGAACTTGGAGGATGGCACAACCTCGGAATTCGCTAGAGGCTAAACCTCATATGATTTCGCGGCAAATGAAGCCCCGCTCCAAGCTCCAAAGTCGCTCCATGTTCGGTAGTTGAAATGACGCCGACGGATGCCAGATGCATGACGTTACGCTACTGCGCGGTTGACGCACGCGTCTGATGACTTTCGTTCGGACATCAATCGCAAAACTTTAGCCCGTATCTCGACAAGTCGGAGCTTCTTGAGCCTCCTTAACTTACGATTTAATTTGACTGCCTCTCCTGCTGCTGTTTTCTTACGCGCCTCACAATGGACTCGCTACCTGCGTCATATAGGCTGCTTGCAGCTCTGCCATCACGGTTATGTTCTAAGCGTCCTCTCCCCGCACAATTACGAGCCGCGCGACTCCCACCGCGATGGCGGTTTGCAGGTCAGCTGCGCAGCATCAGTCAAAGCGCTCCGACAATTGACCGTTCGAAATCGAAACTGTTCAAAGATGCGGACGAAGCAGTCGCGGACGTGCAACCGGGATCGACCGTCCTGAGTGCAGGCTTTGGGCTGTGTGGTGTAGCAGATACGCTCATTGGAGCGATGAAGAAACGCGGTCCACAATCATTACATTCTCTGACAGCCGTCTCCAACAATGCTGGCATTGAGGATGTAGGAGGCTTAGCGCATCTTACAAAGAATGGACAAGTCAAGAAGCTCATCATTAGCTTTCTGGGAAACAACAAGGCGTTGGAGAAGCAATATTTGAGCGGTGGTATAGAGATCGAGCTATGTCCGCAAGGTACGCTTGCGGAGAGGATAAGAGCTGGTGGCGCAGGCATTCCAGCATTCTACACACCCACAGCCGTCAACACTTTACTGCAGGATGGAGAGATTCCCGCCAAGTTTGACAAAGAGGGAAAAGCTGTCGGGTTCGGTCAGAAGAGGGAGGTCAGAGAGTTCAATGGCAAGAAGTTCCTCATGGAGACTGCTTTGACCGGCGATGTCGCGATTATTCGAGCACACAAAGCAGATGAGGCTGGTAACTGTGTTTTCAGGTAACAACCGCGCTATCCAATGCTGTAAACACTATGGCTAACACGTCCGAAAGATACACCACCAAAGCGTTTGGTCCGATCATGGCCAAAGCTGCCCGCCTAACCATCGTTGAAGCCGAAGAAATCGTCCCAATTGGCACCTTTGATGCAAACGAAATCGACCTCCCTGGTATCTTCGTCGACCGCATCGTTCCCTCTACCGCACCCAAAAACGTCGAGATCAAGAAGCTTCGAAAGCCCATTGCTTCTACAGACACACCCTCCAAGAACGAGGCCGCAGAGCGTCGCGACCGAATCGCTCGACGGGCGGCGAAGGAGCTGAAGCAAGGATACTATGTCAACTTGGGTGTCGGCATTCCGACGGCAGCGGCATCTTTCGTGCCTGATGGTGTGAAGGTGTGGCTGCAATCCGAGAACGGTATTCTAGGCATGGGCCCTTACCCTACCGAGGACGAGCTCGACCCAGACATCATCAACGCGGGCAAGGAAACCGTTACGCTTCTACCTGGCGCCTCAACATTTGACTCTGCAGAGTCATTCGGCATGATCCGTGGTGGCCACGTTGATGTCTCTATCCTAGGTGCCCTTCAAGTCAGCGCATCTGGTGATCTAGCAAATTACATGGTCCCTGGAAAGGTTTTCAAGGGCATGGGCGGCGCTATGGATCTCGTCAGCAACCCAGAGGCTACCAAGGTGGTAGTGGCTACCGAGCATGTTGCCAAGGATGGATCGAGCAAGATCGTCCAGGAATGCAAGCTGCCTTTGACCGGAGCCAAGTGTGTCAGCACCATTATTACGGATATGTGTGTGTTTGAGGTGAACAGGAAGCGAGGTACTTTGACCCTTACAGAGACTGCGCCTGGTGTTAGTGTGGAGGATGTCAAGGCGAAGACAGATGCGAAGTTTGAGGTTGCGCCGGACGTCAAGACCATGGAATAGGCCTCTCTTCGTGGCTTGCTGGCGTATGTAGTATGCTTTAGCGATCGATACCATTAGCATCAGTTTGCAAAGCGATTGCGTGAGATCAGGGTACGCTCCATGATCGCGGTGCAGTGAACACGTCACCGTCCAGTGTTCTGAAAGATGATCCTGTGCGTTGTTTTGACTATGACGATCAGCTCAATCATGTGACGGAGAGCTGCGCGACTTTACTGGAAAAACAAAGCATCGCGATTGCGACAACGCGATCGTCAGTTATCCAAAGAACAACTTTGGTGCTTTTATGTATTGCGATACCACCTTCGGTATTATAGCCTGGAGAAAGCTTCGAAGTTAGCTACAATGGTATTCTGCGACACCGTTGACGATCTCCCAACGCAGCGGGTTTTTCGTCGCGGTAGCCATCCGACATTCGGGGCAGCCAAGTCGTCCAAGCGGGGCTTAAAGGCTTCGCACTGCTTGATGGGCCCCTCCCGCCCTCTGCGACGAAAGCTTGGCTCTGCTGATCAAACCATAAACTCTACCAACACCCACAACCCCATCAAAAAGATGCAGCGTCATGGCCACCATCCGATACATCTTCCGCCGTTATTCGTATCTCTACATGATGACAAACACTCGGAAACAGAACAACTCCCGCTCGCACGCGTCGAGTCAGTCACACTGTCGTCAAGCCTGCCGATCGCCTGCCTGCCTAAGAGCGCTATGCTTGTTTCCAGCACAAGCTCGAGTGCGTCGGGGTAGGTTCACTCGACGGCCGAGCAACTCCGCCAATGACATGCCAGATAAAGCCGATTGTGCCGCAACCCATGCGCCCGCCCCCATGGGGTCAGATAGGGTAGCCCTGGTCGCTTTTTGCTAGGTCGGTGTGCGCTACAAGTTACCGTTGGGGGGATAAGAAAGCTGGTCTCTTATTCTTCCTTTGAGTTGAGAGCTCACGCTGGACCTCCAACGCCCGGTTCACTTTTACTTTCGGTACTTTGACCGGTCGCGAAGATGAGCCTTGATAAGATGCACGACGAGAAACTCGAGAACCGGAGCGGAAGTGAGCAGTTGGAGGCTGGGTTCAGTGACGACGACCGGGTTGCGAAGAAGTTGCTGTTCAAGATGGATGTTCGGTATGTTAATGTTCTCTTCTGTCCTGGAGACCAGGGTGCTAATAACAACAGCATCCTACCTGTCCTCGCCCTCCTCTTCTTGTGCTCATTCATCGACCGCACCAACGTCGGCAACGCAAAGATCTTGGGCCTGGAAAGAGACATCAAGATCAACGACCACCAGTACTCCATCGGATTGTGCGTCTTCTACGCTACATATATCGCCAGTGAGCTGCCGTCGAATCTGGTGCTCAAGAAAATGTCACCCAAGATATGGCTTCCACTTCTGACATCGGTGTGGGGCATCTTGACCATGTGCCTTGGTTTCGTCACCAACTTTGCTTCGTTTGTTACTGTCCGCGCGTTGCTAGGTTGCGCGGAGGGAGGTCTGCTGCCCGGTATGGTACTCTACCTTGCCGGCTTCTACCGTAGGCAAGAGCTGGCTCTACGCATCGGTATCTTTTACACTGCCGCATCGTTGTCTGGAGCTTTTGGTGGTCTGCTAGCCCGAGGTCTCAACGCGATTGGTCCTGCTGGAGGACTTGAAGGGTAAGTGATACGCTCGCAGCCTTTTTTTCTACAATCTAACTTAATTCGGCAATAGCTGGCGTTGGATTTTCATAGTGGAAGGACTTTTGACCGTCCTTGTCGGTGTATGCTCCGCGCTCTTCTTACCAAACTCCATCGAATCCGCCAAGTTCCTTACGCCAAGTGAGAAAGAGCATGCGCGATTCCGGCTCGGTGAGCAGAGTTCGTCTCACGAACGCTTCGACTGGGCAGAGGTCAAGCGCGGAGTTTTCAACGTCCAAGTTTGGCTTACTGCAACGGCATACTTTGCAATCCTCAGTGGGCTCTACAGCTTTGGTCTCTTCCTCCCAACCATCATCAACAACGGGTTCGCCAAGGATCCCAATCAAACACAGCTCTGGACTGTCATACCCTATGCTGTAGCATCAGTCTTCACAGTGGCAGTTGCTTTACTATCAGATCGTCTCAACCTACGCGGTCCGGTCATGTTATGTACTCTGCCCGTTGCTATCATTGGCTACGGCGTTATAAGCCAGACTACCAACCCCAAGGTTCAGTACGGAATGACCTTCCTTATGGCAACTGGCATGTATGCCACTGTGCCTTGCATTCTATCCTGGAACAGCAACAACTCTGCTGGACACTATAAACGCGCCACTACTTCTGCACTCCAACTCGCGATTGCCAATGCGGGAGGTTTCGTCGCAAGTTTCGTGTACCCAAAGAGTGAAGGGCCATACTTTCACAGGAGTCATAGTATCATGCTGGGCTTGCTTTGCGCAGCCTGGGTACTGTAAGTTGACCTGGTTCGAGATATCGCCATTGTGTGAAGATGTACTGACCATTAACTTACAGGGTCGCTGCAAATGTTGCGTGGGTATGGAAAATCAACAAGGATAAGGCGAGCGGAAGATATGCCGAATTTGAGGGTAGAGGCGATGACCGTGATCCGGACTTTGTTATGGTGATGTAGATGAAGAATGATATGACTCTCTTCGACCGAAGAAAAAACACCCAAGGGCTACTCTCAATATATTGAAATGAACCGTAGCTTCCCAATGTCGTTCTGATTAGCGTGGAATAGCATTGCTCTTGTTACTTGAGAAGACAGGCAGGTATGCTTTTGCTTATCAGGAACTTTAGTACAGTACGAATCAGAACAATCATTACAGTGGCATGTGTGACCTTTCCTCACTACAATCTCTACATCACACAAACAAGTTCTTTTCATATATTCCCGAACTGCTCTTTTGACAAGGATTGTTTCTGAAGCTTCATTATGGTACAGGCTTCATCAGATCATCTGTATAACTGTGCGCAACGAATAACCACTGTACATCAATCGTATGCTTCCTTCCCATGTCTAGAACCACTGAGTGGTATGTTATTGGGTAACTGTCGTTGTCGACATGAGCTGAACGCCTCTGGACATACGAGACTACATATAACGCGTACTCTTGGCCGCTGTTCCCCCTTCAGCTGAAACAAGATACATGCCTCTCCTAATTTTCATGCGAATATGCAAACAGATCGGAGCCGAATTCCGTTCGTGGTGGCTTTCTTGGCAGATTATAGACAGGGGCGATGACGACTTGTGCATCCGGGCATTCGTTCTTGTCACCAACACAGAAACTCGTTCGTGCCAGGAGCATCATCCTTTCAGAACATTTATACCTCTAGAGTAGGTTGTAGTCTTGAATCGAAGTGTTAGGGTAACCAAACTTCTTTGTATGTCACCGAGGGAACCGTTAGTTCTTACCTAGTTCAACATTTACCAGCCTCACCGGCCTCCACCAGCCGCTCTTTCCCGGGTATCCGCATGCAAATGTCTCAACAGGACATTATTCAAATGATCAACCTTGCATGCATCTGTTGAAGCCGCATGTCCGCGCTATGCACGACCGGCGCCTGCCGCACATGACGGCACTTCTGTGTTGCTCAGGGAACTGCGGCCACTTATCTCGATCGTAGATTATCGACGGAAGGCGTTCACGGAAGGCGCCCTTCTGCAGATGCATAAGATCTGCCTTAACGCATGCCACGCATGCCAGATCACCGGAAGATGGGGAGGCTATGACGCAAGGGTACATCTTGAACGTTTCAAGTCGTACCTGACAGCTGCATGGCGTCGGGCATTCTGTAGTATTACCTCGCTGGTGGAACCTCGTTCCTAACGGCGTCTAACAGCTGTCTGAGTAACATTTGTAGTATGTTGTCAGGGTGACAGCAGTGACACGACGTCCAAAAGTCCACGTGGCTATGAAATTCATGTACTGTACAGCCACGCAACATTACATATTGCTACTTTACGAAGCCGTTTGAGGTTACAGGCTATACCGGAAGCGTGTATGAGATTCGTAGACGGCACATGTCACACCGTGTCGCGCATATATATGCTGAGGCGTTCGTACGTTTAGAATCCATGTAGATGCATGCACTTGTTCATTTACCCTGTTGTTGATCTACATCGCGGAGCTACTTCGTTGTCACGAAGCTTGTCAAAGAAAAACTGAGATGCAGGAACAGACTTGCCATCATCTCAAAGGCGACTGGTTGGTATCTTGAAGGGTGCAGGTGAAGTTGGATAGTGTTAGGACTGTCGCTATTCACCTATAGGCCTCGAGACGTAGAGAGCAACCAAGCGACTTGCCAGATCATGCAAGACAGCTCGGTATAGGACCGACTATGACGATAACTTGATATCAGGGTTGTGATTGCTCCGCGCGATTCATATTGCTTTGCGCTGCGGGTGGTAAATGAAGGACGTCATACAGCTTTTGAAATACATGCATGTCGGAAAATTAAAACCCTGTTCATGATCGTAGGGATCGAGATACTCGACCAGATTGAGTGATTCTTTGCAAACCTGGGCCCTGATTATCCGGCCTCGCTGAGAGTGGGGATCGAAGTACCGACAGTACCTTCTGTTGTACACCGCAACCGGAACTTGCCACGGTAATGCAGTGCGCAACTGCGAACGAGCGAGCATCTGTCACGGTTTTTCGGCGAGAGAGGTATGGTTGAGCTGTACGACACCTAATTTTTCTTCTTCCGCGCGGATGAAGCACTGCATGTACCGCATTGACCTAGGCGACGCCGAACGACTGGTTCGCACGCGAGGTGTAGGAAGCAATTATTCGCCGCTCACGATCCGTACATCCGTACAATTTCACTTGGAACCGAGGACTTTAATCATGACAGCGCGATAAAATGAAGTAGACGCCTCCAAGAAGCGCGCCCAGAGACCAATACGCATGAATAAGCACTTAGTGTGCTATGGCTGATACTACGGTGAACAAGGCCATAAGGCTGACTTCTCACCTGAGAAAAATGGGACAAGATGTTCTGAGCTGCGCGAAGGATTTTCTGCAAGAT